ACGCACTCAGTCAGCGAATCGGATCTCTCTTTTTGTTTTATGCGCGTGGCGCCCTTACCCGTATATCGCTTGCCGCTTCAGTAGACACTCATCGCGCGTGCCGGCACTCGCTCTTGGACTCTGGCGATCGCGCCGATCCCGGCGCTTTCACATGTCTGGTCTGTGTTAGGCTACAGCTAGAATTCATGGGTATTTCTCTGGTTATAGTTGCATGGTACGATGGAAGGGTCCGCGCGCACGGTACTCTTTAGCGAGGATGCGGATCTGTTGTATTCATGTATGAGCAACGGAGAGCGCAGAGACCGTCTCTCTTGAGCGGCTCTCTTGCTTACACGCCCCGACGGATGTCTTTCGCGCGCCTTTCCATTCGCCGATCTTCAGTCGGTTTTGCCGAGCGACGTTCCACTTCTCTGCGGCAATGAGACGCGAACGCGGATGACGGCCCTGCGCGCGGTCCCTCTGCTCCTGCCTCGTTGCTTGGCGGCCTCGCGCGCTAGATATACCTCTCTCTCACGTCAACCGAGTGGCCACTTCATGCGTCGTCTGCTCTCCCGGGATCCTCTCGAGATAGGGGGTCCTTCGAGCGCATACGTTATGGTGAACCTACAATTGTTAGAGCACTCTCAAGAAGGTCATCGTTACGAGGGAATCTCACCAGTACATTCAGAGACGAAGCCAGATACGCGTACGCTCGCCGTCTGTGTCAGCGCGCTCACTGCTTCCCACTCCTTACAACCCATTCCCCGTGGCAACATAGTGATGCTGGATCTAGACGCTGACACCAGCACCTCCAATTCCCGCGTATTGTGCTACACTATCTAGAGCGCTAGTTACATATTTGTCTCGTTCGGAGGCTTTCGTGGTACTCGCGGTCAAGCTCACTCTATCTCGTTTGATTTGTAAATGGAGGAGACTCTCAATGCTTGTCACCCTCATAGCAGGTTTAAATTCTCTCAGAGCCTGCCCCCTCTCATATCTTCTCGCTCCAGTCGCTACTACATCTCTATCTGCGACATATTTCGACGCGAACCAAGGCTCTTAATGACGACAGGACCATTGGGACTGAGAATCTATGTTTGAGGTCTAACTTCGCATGTGAAGCGTTGGCGTAAGAGTCTATGGTCTGGGTCACATTAGCTGCTCGCAGACCCATGTGGTAGCCATGTAGAAGACGGATATAGATATAGAACCATTGGGGATACCGCAATCAATTTCGTGACTCGCCTTTGTTATGGCAGCGCATCACCGACTCTGTGAGCAAACGAGAGATAGAGACAGAGGAGATAGCCTGCGACTTACTGACGACAACATCTGCTGATTAGCAGGCTTCGGTTCGTTCTCTCCGACTGCAGTATGAGATGGAGAACTCTCTCCTCTAGTTAAGTGCGGGGCGGCCGCGGATGCCATCCTGATGTCTGCCTTCGGTCGGGGACACGCGGCCAGATTTTGTAACCTCCTTCGTGGCACCGCACTAGAGAGGCTTCACTTAGCGCTTGTGATCGCTTATAATAGAGATCATGCACGCCAGCGATACTATCAACCAGGGCAAGTTCTTTCGCTCAATTATCAACCCATCCAACTCGGTTGGTCATACACCTTCGATGTTCGTGGCTCACTCTTACCGGAGACTCGCGAGATCGTTCTAGTTGCCTCTGGTCCAGTTGTTTGTCTGTTAGTCTCTCCCATAGAAACTTGTGTCTGATATTTTTTTCTGCTCACCGGCCATTTCGCTTTCATCCTACTCACACTCTCTCCACTTTATAGATCGACTGGTCTCATACATACACAAGACAGAAAGACCTCGAATTGTTTCTCTAGCTACCAGAGTGTTTTAGAAAACCAAGAGCACGACTAATTCATTAATGTAGCACCTCTAGGTCTGACCTCTTTGGGCTCGCACCTCGAGAGACTAATCATTAAGACAGGTGCAGTCTCCCTCTTATTAGAAGTGCTAGGGGCTGATACAACTCTGACATGTTTGACTCTAGACAATACAAGTACGCAAAGGGGACCTGTTCTGTCGACGCCTGTGGGATAGTGTCTACTTTACACTCTTGTAGAGTGTACGTCACATTGTAAGCAACTTAAAAACTCTTCTTTGTTCTAAACAAATTTTTTCGCCTGGATCTAGAAGGCTTAGTCAATCTCAAAGGGCTAGGATTGCTGTTACGTGTGACTTGGTTGTTTACTCGGCTTCTCGCTTCCTTGTTTATTAACTGTCGATACGATCTTGCGCAAGTTCGTTGTTTCTCTAGGTCTATTCATCTCCACCAAGCATAGACTCGAAAGGATGCTGTACGTATGTGCTGCGCACCGAATATGTTTCTCAAGGCGTATCCATGAGGTATCGGAAACAGATAATCGATGTGTTCGTTCTGCCGCGAGACGCTCTCTTGGCTCGTGTAGAGAGCACTGTGGCTCAGGATAGACGAAGACTTATCGATCAATCCTCATCGCGAAACACCTCCGTGCGCGAGACTCCCTCTTCCGAAAGGCCCCCTGGTGTCGCCCTTGTACCCTAATCCCCTTGCTCTCGCGCGAGTCTCGGTTTTAGTCTGCAGATTCGTATTCACTCCTGTGCAACCGAGCGCTTCTCGATGCGTGATCTACAAACCATCATTCTGCATGTTTTCAGACCGCATTCGCTTTGTGGAATCCGACTCGTGGGCAGCTTCATTTCTGAGACGCTAAGCGCCATTCTTGCGTGGTTCGTATGGACTCGCACAACTTGACGGCGTCAGAGTATACTCCTCTGCTCTCCCGACGCTGGAACGGCGCCGTCGCAGCCCTAGGTCTTTGGTTTGTGTGGGTCTCGCGGCGCCATTCTTGTTGACTGTTTGTTCTCTCGTCTACTGCGAACGACTTGTCATATATTGGGCGCCTCGCTCGCGCGCGCGGCCTCGCTTCATCTACATTCTTGCGCTCTTTCACTTTTTAGAACTATTCCCTCGCTAAGAGTGGCAGGCGCACTCGTGTGATCGCCAATCGATAACCACGTATGCTCTCAGATCCGCGTTAGTTTGCGCCTCCAGTTACTTACTCCCTCGCTCGTACGTTGGATGTTCTTTACTCAATGGCGAAGGGATGTGCCGCGTCCCACGTAAGATATTCTCTTCGAGAACAGAGAACGATGCGATGATCTTCTGTTCACTGCCAATATTCTTGCGTGCGACTAGAGCTTGAGAGACATCGGATAAGGTTACTTGGAGTCGCTAGTGGTGTGGGAAAAAGACGTAGACGGAGGAAGTCAGTTTTGTGTGCTAGTTCAACGAGAGGATGGTGTTCTTGAGAAGCGTTTCAGCAAGTAAGAGCTGAGCTCTGTGAGCAAGATGTGGACCTACATCCTCTGAAAACCGAGCCTTGTGGTGTGCGCGTGAACGCTTGAAACAGCCATGTAGACTGATGTTCTAGTCTACTGAGGGGTGAAGGACTGTGCATTGGCGCGTAGTGTTGATTTCTTAGCGGCGAATATGCTTCATTCTTGTAATGAGACGGGACTGTATTTGGCATACATGATAAAGAAATGCCTCTAGGAGAAACCACTCAACGCCAGTTTCAGGGAGAAAATGCGTCTCGCTGGGCAGAGAGAACGCGACCGTTGTCGAAGGCAGAAGTGTGTTAACCTCCATACTAGCTCTCAAGACTTGGCCATAATAATTTCTAGGACTCGATCTCCTCCCTGCTCCGCGCGAGCTAGGATAGGAGTTTTGGGCGCGCAAGAAGATACTCGCACTCGGAATTTGACGTGCGGGAGCGTCGCTCGCGCGGGATGGCCTGTTGGGGTCAGAGGGCTCATGAGGGGGATCCTTGGTAGACCACCTTTTCCCCTCTCACTCTCATCGGGGTGTGAGAGATTGTTCCTCGGCCTGTGCGCAGCACGTATTTTGGAGTTGCTCTTCTGCGGCCAAACTCTTTGCTCCGGGGCGCGTGAGAGATGTTCTGAACACTTCACTTTGTTTCTGTCCTCCCTCCATCGTGACATCAAGTCTGCAGTATTGCTGGAACCGGTTGGTGTAGGCTAACCGAAATCCCTAACGTATTGTTTTCTCCGTATTATGTGTGTTTTTTATTTTAAGAGACTAATGCATCGACATTGTCACGGGTGTAGTAAGCTCAGCGCTCACTAGACTTAAGCTCCATTGTCAGGCTAGACCTGATCGTGTAGATGAGACCGGTTACAGAGTGTGCATTTGAACACGTGCGCAGAATAGTGTGCGGCTGCTATCGGAGCACTGGTCCAGGGCTGTGTGCTAGCTGCAGAGGGGAGCGCTCGCTCACATTTATCAACTCACTAGAAAAACTTGTAGCGAATAAATCATCTCTCCCAGGTAGAATAACACTGTGGATCAGTCTAACTAAGAGAAATGAGGTAGCGGTGGTGAGGGTTCTCACGCACTCACAGTGTTGGAAATGCGTGGCTCATCTACCCACAGATGCATACAGCTCAAGGGAGTTCTCAACTTAGTGGAAATAATGGACGAATAAAAGAACACAAGGATTGTTGGCCTCTGTGTTCCCTAGCCTACGTGATTAGACTCCTCGGTGGTGCAGATCGGTGTGCATGTTGTGCTCCTTTCAGTCTGAGCTTAATGATAGTAGATCGCTCTACGCGCATTCGCTCTCGCCATTCTGGTGCGCGCTCTTGCATGTCTACGCAAGGCCCCTGGTTCTGAGGGGAGTCAGGGTTAGTTTCATTTCATAGAACTAAGAGCGTAGATTCTCTAAGCCCTTGGTTCGTTGTAGGAAACCGCTGCAGACGCGATCTGAATGTGGTGTACTTATGTCCAGGTATCCCAATAGTAGTCACAGTTGAATTAAAGAGTAAGATGGACATAGGCGGTGTTGGGTTTCATGTATATGTATTCTCACAGCAGAGCAAGGGCCATGATAGGTATAACCTGTTGCACTTCAAGCGCCGCTAGCTCCAAAAACTCCACTCGCTTGTGTTGCGAGTGGAAACTTACCTACTGCCAGACGCTCGGTAAAGACGGCTCTGGGGCATGGTTGGCTTTGTGGTGGTATACCATGAGGATGAAGGCGAGATCCTTCGGCTCCATAAAGCAGGTACAAGGTCAAATGAATTCGTAGATGGGTAGGTGTCTGCGTATTTTCAGATAAGCGATCGAGCCCAGAGAGCTCCCTGTAGGAGATAAGTTCGGACATTTCTAATGGTGCTGGGCCCAAGTCAGTCGTGATGTATCAAATTTCTACAAGGTCGGCCAGGTGGTAGATAGGCTCCGCGTCTCTTGAGACTCAAGAGTTACTCTTCGCGCTTGATGTTTCCCCGACTATCTGTTCTGTGCATGGCGTTGCTAGGGTCAGCGGGATGCGAGACAGGTGCATTCCTCGCATATTGCTGCTGCGCTCTAAATAGCTCCTCCTGAGTCACTGGTGGGCTTCTCCGTCTGTTGAATTGATTCACTTAAAGCAGAGATCTGCTGAGCACCTCTTTAGTGATCTTACTCTCCGACAATGAAACGCGGAACTATAGTCCAGTCATGTTGTCTGAGCGGGGTTACCAGCTATGATCACGCAAATGTTGTCAGCACGCAGTCGTGTAAGCACTAGTTTTTTATTCTAGTGAATGAAGACTAAAATTCAACCCCTCAGCAATCACTGGGTGTCATGTCTCCTGTGCTCAGCGCTCGAGAAGCGCGGCGCTCAATCTGTGTGGTTAGGCTTTTACAGAGGCCCTGGCTCTTTGTAAGGTTGTGGGCCAGTTATAGCTGTCTCGTCTCTGTCTTACCCTTGAATGGGAAGTCTGATTCCCCAGGTAAAGGGCTAGCGTTGGGTCAGCTGATATGAGAAGAGATGCGCTCCGGGGCCCGTGACAGGTATTTTTGGTATGTGAGACCGGGAAAACTACCAGAGACGTTTGACGCGAGGTTTGTGATGCCGAACGGCCCTCTAGGAACATGTGGTTGATGTATCTGAGACGCATATTTAACGATGTTTGTGCGAGATAGGAAGGTGAGCGCATAAGCCCAATTTCAGGTATTTGAATGTTCAGCGCAAGGCTTTTTAAAATTTATTCTGTACTCCACCGGGGAAGCCCAGTGGAGTGCATTTTCTCACTACCGGTGTAAAATCATGCTCTTCCCTCACTGAGCTCCTCCTTCGAGCTGCTCCGAGGGCTCGGCGGACCTGAGATTTCGGGCTGCGGGCGCATCTGGGGCTTGTTCATTTTTGGAATCGAGCCTCAAGCAGTCGGGTTCGTGCCGGGTCAGAGGGATTTCTTTTTTTTTTGTAAGAGCCTTTTATAGGACGGGTTATGCTTTTATTAGCGTTATTAAATTCTCCTTTATCAGATAATTCTTGTTATTTGTGAATAATCATAAGAAGATCACTGTTCATATTATTTTTATTTAATATAATGAATTTTACTGATATGATTAAATTGGTTCGGTGTGAGTTGCGACGCAAAAATTATTTTAGACAAGTGTAAGATGAGACTGATGTATTGTGTGATACTACCTTAGAGCGTCGCGAGCGGTGCTCACTACAGCACCGCCACAGTCGGTCCGTAGAACGCATGCTAACATAAATAAAACCATATACTCTCACCCTCTCGCCAACCGCTGTCTCCTGCGAGTATATGCCCTTGTGGGTTCACAGCCTCGCCGCAGACGCACAAGGCACAAAGATAGTTAGACTAAGTGGGGACATTCTCTTAAGTATTGGGGAGCCAGATTAATGACTGCAAGAATTCCGATAACCAGTGCGAACTCAAGAGACTTGCTCACTTTGAGGCGTGTCGTCGGTGCGGTGCAACCACGGAGAATTCTCCATCGATGGGAGAGGGGCTTCTTGGTGCGTGGCTCGGGCTTCTGTGTTTATACTCGCGATCATTGTGGGCTTCATCGGGCCCTATCGGGACTTAGACTCTTCGGCGCGGGCTCTGGGCACCCGGGTCGGGTTCTATTTGTCAGGTGCCTCGATAAGCGAAGCCTGCTAATCCACGTTTACAGGTCGCTGTATAACGCAGGCTCATCTAATGCACTTTTCCAGCTGAGTCTGTTCTGATTTGGCTTTTCTACCTCCCGACGAGCAGTATAATGCTGTAGACGGTGTCTTATTGCCTGTATAGTGCGAGTTGGGATCGTAATTAATTCCGATTGTTTTTGAATGATGGTTTGCCCATATACTCGGGCGCTCGCAGAGTCGCATTGTGAGGAGTGAACCCGACTTCTCGGTCGCGTACCCTAACACCTGTCTCCGGCAGATCCCACCTCCATCGAGAGTTCCGTCACTCAGATCAAGGCGAACCGAGGTATATACGGTATTGTGATCTGTTGCCGTACGTGTGATAGCCAGATGGTTCTGATGGCCCGATAGGAATTGATAAACCAGTCGCAGAATGGGCTGCTTTCTCTGGCAGACTCGCCTAACCTAATCATTCAACATTCTGCGCCCTTCTTGGCTCGCAGTGCAGAATGGTCGTGGTATGACTGTGGTGTCATCAATGCTCATGCTCACGCTATTATTGGTTGTCACTTCTCCGGAAATAGCGGGCTCTCATCTTCGGTCAAGAGCAATAATTCGCCTTGCACCATATACTGTTCGACCTATTTTCGCGACAGCAGCTAGATGACCTAAGCCATCATTCGTGACTTTTCGACGGCTAGTGCCCTACGTTTCTTCAGTGTCTCTAAAGGTGTGCTTTGGAAGGTGGCTACATCGAGATTGGAAAGACCTTCAGACTGGATCGCTACTCGTGTTGTATCCTGCAGGGTGAGCGCAGCGCTCTCCACGGGCTAGACGAAGAGCTAGGTAAGCTTTATCACGCGCATTTTAGTAGATACATGGTAAAGTAGAGGTATTGTCTTCGAGATTGGTTCTTTTAGCGGCTTGTTAGAGAGTGATTTCGGGATTCACGTTTGTTTTCTCTTCAGAAGGGTGTGACTGTACATAGCTGTTTATAAAGGAGCCTCGTTTGTAGGGAGAGCCATATGCTCTCTCCCATGCATTGTCTAGGATGCGTTTTTATACTTTATAGCTTTTCTCACTGAAGTAGGTCATCTAAGATATGCGCGAAGCGGTGATTATGTATGTCTTGAAGCGCGATCCAGAGCTGCGACTATTGGATCTCACGTAATGGCAAGAGTTTGTGAGGCTCTCGCTTTCTAGAAGAGTGGTACCATCAAGCGCTCCCTTACTGTCATTGGTTCACAAGCCTATTGTCAGATTGCTTGCGGCTCGCTCTCTCAAGCTGTAGAAAGTGTTGGGACCAAGGTTGGGAAGACTGTCATCGTTACATCGGGCCGCTCTTCTCAGAGCTTGTCCCAGAGATTCTACATCTGTAAGAACAAGCAAGGTTTGAAAGACCATCTCGCTGCTACGCGAGTGTCTGTTTCGACGCACGATGGAAGTAATTGTACCTAGCTTAACCGAGAGCTCGGAGAACGTCGGCACGGACTTAGGCCTGCTGTGCGCTGTAAGGGAATACATATTTGCGGGCTTCGAGTGTCTCGCACTGGCTGTGGCCGTTTTGCTGAGTTTGACGCTGTATGGCATCACCTAGAGCCAAAATGTCTACTGTGTTGCTTTTGTTATTTGGCGCAATCTAGTTGTACAGAGAGTTTCGTGGCAAGACCCCACATGAGTTCGCACGGGCTCTCCCGTGCGACCGGGCATTGTTTGAAGGTTAGTTGTTAGCGCGAAGTACAGATGCTTCTGTTCCAACTCCATCGTGTGTAGAAGGGTCTCGGAGTCGAGGAGTGGTCAGCTGATGACTAGGCTGACTGCATCTCATGAGTTTTCGTTGTCCGTCTTTCCTGTTTTAATCTAGTTATGGCTGTTGAGACACTGTGACTCTAGGCGAACTCGCCTGCTTATAAAACCTCTGCATACGTGTATTAATTGTTTATATCGCAGTTGACTCTGCTGAACATTTTAAATGCTCAGATAATTGTTTCATTACGTACTTCAAACTCTCGTGTTGTCACCCGTCTATCCGGATCGAAGATGCAAACTGTCGGTGGAGAGCTGTCTAAGCAGCCGCATGTGAGCAGAGGTTCACCTGAGCAGCTCAGCTTGACGTTTAACCCATTAGGCAGTGTGAGTAGTTATTTAAGAAACATTGGTGTTAGGATTTATCATGATGAGGAAAGGGGGGGGGGATTCTTCATCCATAACGTTGTTAATCATCATTTGGCGGGCAGGGACACAACGCTCGCTCCTCTCCGCGTCTCATCATCAGATTCGAGATCTTTACGCTCCGAAGTCAACTGTGCATGCATAAATGAATACTGACTCAGCCAGACAACGCGGCCCTTTGGAGCGTTGACTCAGGAGCCAATCGTCTGGAGAAGTCTCATTCACGCAGAGCCCGCATCGGTTCTCAGGCAGACATAAGTGTTCCATGAATATGTGGTTATGTCCTGTTTAGTGAACGTGCCATTGTGTTCGCTAGCCGGTGGCTAGAATACATTGTTGAGGCTAAGGACCGTCCTACGCTCAATCCTCCAACCCTCATTTCACTAGGTACTCGGCGGCTGAGCAAGCGTAATTGTTTTAAGAAGGTGTCCTGTGTCTGTGCATCTCACTTGTATATCGAATTCTGAAGTTCTCCATGTTTAATCTCCGATATACTTAGGTAGGTTCTCTCCTGAGTGGTTCGCGCCGGTAAACCTTTCGCTCTCGCTCTCTGCGCCGAAAAGTAGGCTCGCGACATCAACATTCGACTTGTGCTCGCGTGCAAGCCAGACTTTGCTCTCTAACAACGTCGAAGCGGCGATCCGGGGTCTCGGCATGGGGGTGGCCCCCGACGGGAGAATGACTAATTGCAGTTAGCTCGCTCGAGAAAGGCCGAGAACACATAAAATCTGTTCGCCGTCATTGGGCCGCACGATCCCGCTTAGCATTCTCATCGCGGGATTAGTGCAACGCAAGATGAAGTCTAGGCTCTGTTGGGTCCCTCGCTCCAGAGCTTCCTAGCTTAGGATCGGACATGTGTGGGCTCACTGTGTGGAGGGGGGAGTGTGATGGTAAGTTGAGGTGTCTAACTTCTCGTGAGTCGTCCTAGTGCTCGTGGATCGTTTTGGAGAGAGCAGTCTTGTCCTTCTCTTTACAATCTGTATGGAGCAGGCTGGGATTAGGCTGATCGCTGCTTGATGTTGCGGCTCATGAGCAGCCGCGTTCTGTTTGTTTTTCTCGTCGCATCCCAATCTTTTCTTTGCTCAATGGCAAAGAGTCAGGACCACTCTCGCTGTTCAAGCGGCGCCCTTTTTGGACTCTGCCTCCTCCTCTAGTTGAGCTCGATACGCAACGTTGTTGATTGGCCCGCTCATTGTAGTGTGATTAGGGAGCTCCAGGCGGCGCTCGGACTGTAGAGACTAGCGTCTGTTTGATGACTATATCTATTACTCGCAGTGACTTCTTCGTGTGTTTCTCCAGTACGTCAATGCTCTGCTCTCTAGTATCGACCTAGCGTTTAGAAATGAGGAGTCAGATTGGAGAATTTTGTCGTTGTGAGTTAGGAGGAGATCGGGCGCAGTGAATTACGGGACAGGTTTGTTGGATCTGGGATTATTATCGCAGCATAATAGACCTATCTCCTTCTAGAGGACTCAAGACCCAGACATCTTTTGGTGTGTTGGTACCTCCCACTCGCGAGTGATAGGTGATTGAACAGTGCTGGCTTTCGGATACCGAAGCAGACCCATGCCATTATGTCGATAGGGTTTTGGGACGTGAAGATATAGTCAGTTTGAGTTGTGCAGTGAGACTCACGATTCGCGCAGAAGCGCGGCCGTCTTCTGCTCCTGCCGAACTGCGTTAGCTTCTCGCTCTTTCGTGGTAGATGGTTGTAACTCGAATAGGAGTACGGATAGCTGGAAGTTGCGCAGGACCTGTCATCTCCAATTCGAGCTAAGTTCGTATCTCCGTTTTGTTGGCAGAGCCATAGTGGCTCCCAGCCTCGCTTCCATTCAATCTATGGCGCAACTCACCATTACGGACACTTTCTTGGCTCTAGGAGTCCGCGGCTGATGCTCAGCACGCCCTTTCTGTCTCTCAGAGCGAGGACGCCTCATCCTTGTGTCGCAATTCGCTCTCGGCCTCCCTGCCGGTGCCAAGGATTGTAGATGACGTTTGTTAGGGTGCATTCTGCTATTAACATGAGAATAAATGTCTGCTAGCCCTCAGAAGCTGGGGATTGTAGTGGGCGTTCTCAAGGGACTCTTGGGTTACATCCAGCCTATGGCCGTCACGGGATACGTGGTGTGCTAGCACATAACTTCCTGTAGAAGCTTATCTTTATTTAATGTTTTTCGTCGTATGCACTCGCACTGGTCTGCCGAAAGCTGTTTTCCAGATTCGTTTTACTGTTCATCTACAGATACGCATCATAGAATATGTCATTGTCGCTAAGTACTGACATGGCAATTTCTATTTATAGGTCGCTAGGTGTTGTGTCCTCGTATCATACAAGTCATAGAGTCATAAACTTTAGTGACGATGGTCGATCGCCACAAGCACGGATACTCAGTGCCAGAGATACGCAGCACTCTTAGTACAGAATACAGTACCTAATAGGAGTGATAGACTCGCATTCTCAAGAGTGGCTCTCAACCAGAGTCTTCGATGTGTATGCTATTTAGTGAGCGTTAACACGTCAGGATAGTCGCTCGCGATAAAAACACGACTACCACCAGAAGCTATCGTGATGCGGACTACGTCATGTGTGAGGAGCTACTTAGATGTCTCCGCTCCTGATTGATGTGTACTTGTCGTACTGCATTAACGCCCTTGTGAGGCCGCTCACGCGGTGGAGGCTTGTTACGACGTCGCTTAATCAACAGCTTGCTCTCTTCTGGTGTTACTGTTGTGTACTTCTATATACCGCGTTCCATGATGAGTGTTCTTGCGTCGCAGACTTGGCTCCAATGACTTAGTCCTTCCTTCCTACGGTCACCAATCTATTTACTTCCGTATTTGCTCTGTGTACCTTCCGCTCGCTTTCATGTACAATCATAGATTTAGTTCCGGATCGCGCTCCACATAGAAGTAACGCTCGAGCTGTATTGTTGAGGAGAACGCCCCAGTGGCGGCATTCTCATACTCCGTGAAGAGGCTAGATATAGACTCAGAGCGTTGCGGGGACTCCAGTCCTTGCATCGTCCAGTTGTGAATTGATAGCCATCCGCGCAACTCGCGCTCGATACCCCTCATTAATTCTCTATTATATTTCACTGGTTGCAGATACGGGCGTCTCTTTAAGCTCTCTCCAAGAGTGAGCGAACTAGTGGATAGGGCTCCAGAATGTAAGTTAGTCATGTGTTGGGAGGTTTGCGGAATGGATATGATACTTGCTTAGGTAGTGATGAGTTTGCGGCAATAAATATCTCGGAAGATCTATTGGTAGTTTCATACAAAGTGTCTCTCGCTCTGGAGAACTCGGCTGTCAGATGGCTGCCTGCTGTGCTCGCGGCGACCAGCGCGCTCTCCAGTCCTTGCAGCTGTGATATAGTGTTGTCTAGCTACATAGAAAAGAGTCTAGTCTCTGCCTAAAAAGTGGTCTCTTCCCAGATATCTTTTACGATTTTTCCAGGCACTCCCAATAGAATAGTTACGGGGAGACTCATAGTCACAGGGGCGTGGTTAGTACGCAAAGGCATCTTTATGTCCGCTTTGTGTGTGTTTTACCACTTCTTGAGACATTGTTATTACTATACTCGCTAGATCGTCCTCGTTAGGTGAATTGTCAAGTAGACTTGTCTTTTGGACCGAGATCCCTGCTTCGCCAGCTTCTTCGCCTCCCTTGTAGGCCGAGAAGGAAATATGCCTGCGCTTACTTGAGATGATGAGAGAGGACATGTCATCGTCTGTCCTGCTCTCTCTAATGACGCAGCTGATTGACACTATCCACACTCTGTTGTATCGAGTGTGTGAACCTAGATGCACTAGACTGATTTGTCTCACTTCTCTCGCTGTTTGAAGACTAGCAACTTGGTTTAGTGGTCGCTCGCTCTACTAATTTCTCTCTAGTGACATTTGTCTGTAGATCTGTTGTTTCAATTTCGTGTAAATGTTTAGATCTTCTGGTCCTGTACTTTTAGATAGAGTGATTGGTACTGTCTTAGTGTATGTTTCCGTCTTGTGCAGACACTGGAGTTCTGGCGTTTTTGACACATAACTGTAATATATCGAGCTATGGTGGCGCTTGTTTACTGCCACATCTGGCAAGATGAGAAGAAGAGATTAAATAGACTGAATGACACTGATACTGATCGTATATAGGGACGTAGACGAGAGTGACTCTCGCAGGTCGAGTGGAGATGATGAGTTGGACGATGAGACTGGAGGGGAGAGCATCTGCGCAGTCAGCAGTGCTCGCGGTGCAGCGCGCGTCATCGCAACCTGGCTGGCGCGCGTACACTGGGCCTGTACTTTGCTCGTTCGATATCTCCGGCGCCCGAGTAAGCAGCTCATGGTGTTTTAATTTTCTTTTACCGGGTATTTTCAATGAACCATGTACAATGTCTACAGAGGTGTTTTCTTCTTGTGTTTGTATCCTAAATGTATTGAGTTAGTAGGATCAATGAGTTTCTAGTCAGATATTCTGACGCACTAGGTTCCGTTAATTGGACAAATACTAATCAAATATTTGTGCTGAGAGTCATCAATTGTCTCTATAACGATCATGTTTTGATTGAATAGCGCTCCTATGACTGTTAATACGGATATGCTCAAGAATTAGTTGATGGGGGGAGCTTTGTATTGCTCTCTCAAATAGACCCCTTTGGTTACCCGCTCATAGTCCATTAATATTCTGTTTGTTCTGTAATCTTTTACCGACACAGCTCCTCTATTATTCTCTGATTTCTATTTGACAGTTTTATAGTCCTTTTGAGAGAAGATTAGATGTCAGATAGAAATTTAGAGTTTTGCGAAAGAAAAACCTTCTGGGCGCTTAAGAGAGGTTTAAGGCTCTTGTTTGCTCGGTTTCGTCGGGGAAAGATTGATACCTTAGAGAGACTGCGTTACCGGGTAAGCCGCAGGTCCTTGCGCGGAGGGCTTGCCGTCAGCTGTCACCTGCTTTATAGTGCCTAAGACCGTTTAACAATCGTTTTTAAGGCGCTGTATTGTTTTATTAGATTGTATCGGAGGTTTTTGCTATATATCGTGCTTACAATACTCCGCTGTGGGGATGGTCTTTACTGTTCGTTTAAGTTCTCAGTGGGTCAGTTCCTAGAGGTTCTATGTAATAGTCGCTTCGGACGAGGTGTTGGTGCACAGAGAGGACTAACCTCTGGTCTAGACGAGGCACTCATGCAAGTGAGCAATGAACATTGGCTACAACCTGCGCACAAAATATTCTATGATAGGTGCGTGCAGTGCGAGGAGGCTCCCCGTTAGCCTCTCCAGCAGTGTCTCAGATATACGGAACAGGAAGCTCTTCGTCTTCACCGGCGCTTCCAGGAGTTTTGGTACTGAGCCAAATAATCGCCAATGCCTCTCGTGTAACTCGCCCTCAGAAGAACCTTTTTGTATAGAGGATCTCTGCTTTAGGTGGGCGCTACGCACTTTTTCACACCGGGCTTGTGCTGGTCATGAGCGCTGGCTATATTTGTGAGTCATGTGTGTGGGGTCGAAGATCGTCTAGTCGAGGACCCTGCCTGTTCTTTGATCGCTCGCTCCGCGCTCTACGCGCTACTGGGTATAGAATAACGAGCCGCAGGATTCTCCGATCGGATCGCCTCATCTCCTTTTGCGGCCTGTTGGAGCGCATCCTCTTGTTCTCCCCTTGAGCTTGGCCGCAAGACTGCTCATAAGCTCAGCCTCCTGCTTCGAAACCCTCTGCCGATCTCCCGGCCTCTCCGCTATCGCAGCACGAATCCTCTTGGGCACATTGTCATGCGATTCTCTCCTGTCTCTCCACGATGGATCCGCCGCATGTATCTCCGGCACTACGAGTAGCGAAGACTCTGACGTCTTAGTGGACCGGATAGCAGTGTTAGTGATAGAGGCGGGAGATATAAGCGAGCTGTGAAGTAGTCGACTCTCAGCCACGGTCGCTCCGAGAGTAAGTTGGCTCGTGTTCCCGTTCTTTGAGAACGCGCTCTCCTCACTCAGTGCACGCCGACGCTCTCTCCGCAGACCTTTGGGGGTTGTCGATGCGCTCCTCACTGATCTCCCTATTCACTCCACCGATTCTCACCTACTCTCATCTCGCACCGCGGTCTCAAGCCTCGTCGCCGCGTCGCTCAAGAGCCTAAGCCACGCTACTATCGCAGACCTGTACTTCAAGAGGTACCCTCGCGTGCACCTCAAAGTCTGCGGCAGTGGGGGGTTGTGCTCTGTAGCTGGAGTCTGAGCACCCCCCGCTTACTCTGCATCCTCTTCTTCCATGTGTTTAAGCGTCTCGGATGGCGGCTCTTATTGGTCGGTGTCTTTGTACTCGCGTTGAGAAGATCGCCGCTTCGGCGGTTGCCGTCCTCGAACTCGTGATAGCCTCTCTATGTCTCACTGAAGCTTGAGGCTCTCGAGTCTGCGCAGCGTACCGCACTTCACTGCCGCCCCAGAGACCTACCTTTGGGATTTTTGGGAGATTGTCTCCGACGTTAGTGTGACACTGTCCTCGCTTCCTTTCTCACCGCATGTCCTCTTGCGCTCTGTTATTTTCTCCTCGCGGCAGCTATCTTGTGGGTCCGAGCTGATTCGTCATTGTCGTGGTAAACACCTCTCTCGCGCCTTTGTCTTGCGCTGTTTCTCTCATCACGTTCCGCTGCGTCTCGATTCGTTTCCAGAAGGTCAGTCGGGTCGCATGTGGGTATTTGTGTACTCGCGAGCTTGATAAAACGTTAGCTTGTGTTAGCCTCTGTGCTACTAGTGGGTTTCAGTCGGGACTAAGTGCTATTTGCTGAAACCACTGAATTAAAAAGAAGGGCTTAAAACACTCAGATATATTAAAAAACTGAACAATAAAAACGCGCTAAAAAGTTGTTAAAAGTTTACTAAAAAGGTGCACAGAGCAGCCCTGCAGAACGATAAGGACTTATCGTTCCACAACTGATGGATAAAACAATATATTCTAAGGCCTAATATTTGCGTCTGTACATTTTCGCAAAATTTTGCTAAAGGGATGACATTTTAGCTATTTTCTTTTGTAAAATGATGTCACATTTTCGTATGTCAAGTTTGGCTAATATGGCTAAATAGGACAAATGGAAACATTACTTTACTGTGACCATCCTGCTGTGTGTTACTTTCTTCAATATTAACACTTAGTGCACTACTGTTAGTTATCGGTATTTCGTCTATTAACATTTGTTATGGTAACGGCATGCCAAAATATGTATATTCTTTTTTTCACATTATGGCAAGGCAAGGCAAGGCAAGTTTATTTATATAGCACAATTCATACACAAGGCAATTCAAAGTGCTGAACAAAACAAGAAAGCATTAAAATCATAAATTATCACAGAACATTAAAAAGAAAGATAAAAATATAAAATCCCTCAGTTGTATGCACAGTTAAACAGAACCGTCTTTAACCTGGTTTTAAACATTGTCAGAGAGGAGGCCTGTCTCACATCTTCAGGAAGACTGTTCCAGATTTTAGCAGCATTAATCTGAAAAGCAGCCTCCCCATGTTTAGTTCTGACTCTGGGCACTAACAGGAGTCCAGTCCCTGTGCTCCTCAGAGTCCGGGCTGGTTCATATGGGACTAACATGTCACTAATATATTTTGGTGCGAGGCTATGGAGAGACTTGTACACAAGCAGAGCTGTTTTAAAGTCTATTCTCTGAGCCACAGGAAGCCAGTGCAGAGACCTGAGGACTGGACTAATGTGGTCGTACTTCCTGGTTCTTGTCAGGACTCGAGCTGCTGCATTTTGAATGTACTGCAGCTGTTTTACAGCCTGTTTGGACAGACCTGTGAGCAGGCCATTGCAGTAGTCTAACCTACTGGAGACAAATGCATGGATAAGAATCTCCAAGTCTGCTTTAGACACTATGTTTTTGATCCTGGCAATGTTTTTTAGATGGTAAAAAGCTGCTGATGTTACTGATTTGATGTGGCTATTAAAATTTAAGTCTGAGTCCAGTATTACCCCTAGATTTCTGACCTTGTTTGAAGGTTTTAGGGAGAGAGACTGTAGGTGACAGATGACGCTCTCTCTTTGTTTCTGGGGACCAAAGACAATCATTTCAGTTTTGTCTGCGTTTAGCTGAAGGAAGTTGTTTTGCATCCACTCACTGATCTGTTGGATACAGTGAAGGAGTGAGTCCACTGGTCCATGTTCTCCTGCAGTCAGTGAGACATAGATCTGAGTGTCGTCTGCATAGTTATGATAGGAAACTTTGTTTCTGCGTATTAACTGACCTAACGGCAGCATGTAGAGATTGAACAGAAGAGGTCCCAGGATCGACCCCTGTGGGACTCCACAGGTCAGGGCCATATGATCTGAGACACAGTTTCCAATCTCCACAAAGTACTTCCTGTCTTCAAGGTAAGACCTAAACCAACTTAGGGCGGTGCCAGTGACGCCAACCCAGTCCTCTAGTCTCTGTAAGAGGGATCTCATGGTCGACGGTGTCAAAGGCAGCACTTAGATCTAACAAGATTAAGATTGAGACTTTGCCTGCGTCAGTGTTCAGCCGGATATCGTTTGTAACCTTAACGAGAGCAGTCTTAGTGCTGTGGTGGGGTCTAAAGCCGGACTGAAACATATCAAATGAGTTGTTGATTATAAGAAATCTAGTAAGCTGTAGGTAGACAACTTTCTCAAGGACTTTCCCCATAAATGGCAGATTTGAGATGGGACGATAGTTGTTAAGTACAGTGGCATCCAGACTGCTCTTTTTTAGCAGGGGCCTGATGACTGCAGTTTTCAGGGCCTTTGGGAATATTCCAGAATGAAGGGACATGTTTACTATCTGTGTGAGTGAAGGTAACAGACTGCTCAGAACAGACTTCAGAAATCTAGTGGGTAGTACATCCAGGCTGCATGTGGAGGAGCTCAGACTGGAGATTATCTCTTGGACAGTTTTATCATTTACAGGTGCAAAGTGAGTTAGCTCAGAGAGCCTTTCTGGCTGTTGGATGGTTATCTGTGGATTGGAGACAATGGCGCTTTTGATGCCTTGAACCTTGTCATTGAAAAAATTAGCAAACTCATTGCATTTACGTTTGGAAGTAAGCTCTAATGGCATTTGAACAGGGGGGTTTGTTAATCTATTAACTGTTGAGAACAGAACACGCAGATTGTTGCTGCAGCCTTCAATCATTTCAGAAAAATACCTTTCTCTCGTACTACGTAGCACCCGGTTAAACTCGCACAACTTATCTTTGAAGATCTCGTAATCTACCTGGAGGTTGGACTTGCGCCACTTCCGCTCGGCCCTCCGGCACTTTCTCTTTTGTGCCCTGACCGAGTCTGCTTTAGCCCACGGCGCCTTCTGCTTATTTTTCACTATTTTAACCTTCACAGGGGCAACGGTATCCAGAACATTCAAAACACTAGAGGTGACAGAGTTAAACAGTTCATCTACAGTAGAATACGATGCATTCTCAAAGTTTATCATTTCCATAAATAGTTCACTCGTATTTTCATTTATGCGCCTTCTTCGAACAGTTGCAGAGTCCACTGGTGGTTTGTTAGTGAAACACATGTCAAAAAAAACACAGAAATGATCCGAAAGAGCAACATCGACCACGTTTACATTTGAAATAATCACCCCCTTTGTAACTAACAGATCTAGAGTGTGCCCTCTGCTGTGGGTGGGGCCACTTACGTGCTGAGTGAGATCAAAGGATTCAAGTACAGAACTCAGCTCATTTGCATTTCTGTCATCAACATTATCCACATGAATATTAAAATCACCTGTAATAACAAAACTATCAAAATCTGTGCATACAACTGAAAGCAACTCGGTAAAATGATCAATAAAACTGTGACATGACTGCGGTGGCTTGTATAGGACAACGAAGAGTATTGGAGGAGATTGTTTTTGTTGTATTTTAAAAGACACATATTCAAATGACGAAAACTTCCCAAGAGACATTCTATGGGAGACAAAGTGGTCTCTAAAAATGGCAGCTAAGCCTCCTCCTTTTTTGTTTTCCCGTATTTCAGATTCAAACTTGAAATTTGGTGGTGATGCTTCTATTAAAACTGCATTTTCTGAATTTTGGTCAAGCCAAGTTTCAGCCATGAACATAAGATCAAGATTATGAGAAGAAATAAAATTATTGATTAAAAAAGACTTGTTACAAAGAGATCTGACATTAAGCGTAGCAAGTTTCAAAGTTTCAGTATCAGCGGTTGCGGTCGGCTGATTCTTACACGGAACAAGAATTAGATTTTCCAGATTAGACTGATTAACTCCAGATGTTTTTCTGTAATGTATTCTTTGTGTTATCACTAAGGGAATGGCACAGGTGGCTTCATGACAGGGCCCCAGCCGGGTCTCTCCTCTAACTAGACTGCCAGTGGCTGCGAAGCAGAGACCCTGTGCATCCTAGTGTTTAGAGAAAAGAGGGGTAGGGGAAGGCGGGGGAGGAGGATGGAGAGGTGGGTGGCTTTTGGGTGTTGAACGAGGGGGGCAGGGAGGTGGAGGGGTTTTAGGTGATGGGTTAGGGCCGGGGTGGGCTGAGGCAGAGGTTTTGGATGTTGAACGAGGGGGAAGTGGGGGTGGAATGGTCATGAGGTTAGGGGAGGGACTGGCTGAGGTGGTTTTTGTAGGTGAATTGGAAACCCTAGGTGGTTTTGGAGGTACATATGGGGAGTGGTTTAGAATGTTGGACAGGACTCTAGATCGAGCTAATATGGGTGTGAGAGGAATAGTCTTCATCGCCGATTTTATTAGCCCTGCAGAGTGTTCAGGTAGGTCTAACAGTGAAGGCGGGGATGAGAAACAAAGGGAGGTGTCCCCATTCTCTCTTGATGGAGTGGACGTGGCAGGGGGGACCCAAGACAGGTCCTTGGGAGGTGGCGAGGGAGTCTTTGATGGAGACTCAAAGACTAACTTGCCACTGCTTTCTTCTTCTTCTGTTTTGAGCTGTTGAATCAATCACCAACTTGCATGTGGCAGAAACTGTATTTGGTCTGCAGTCTATCATAGCCACAACAATCACTACGCCCGCGCAGTGTATTCCCAATTGCTCCTATTATAAAGACAGTTAGCATGCGGCGCTGGCTCTCCACTCTGCTGTATCAAATATCATGAGGCTTACTCAATCTATCTCTCTCACTTACCCACCATCACTTCTGGTCTTCGCTACACACACACACGCAGCTTTGATTGGTTTGACGCTCCATGCATTATGCAAAATACTGCCATTCAAACAAGCAATTTGTGCAATTTCCA